GGGGGGGCGGGGAGGGGGGAGGCAGGCCAGAGTGACACAGCGCCTCAAGGAGCAGCAGTTCAGATGGTAATTCCCAACACAGCAGCTCACACCTGAGGCATTAGTACTCATGAGGCAGACAAACTTGACAGAGAAAGACAAATTCACATGACGCAGCTATAGCGCAGAAATCTATTCACAGTGGTAGATTTAACAGGAGCAAAGGGTAACACATGGCTTCAATGACACGATTTCAATCACCATACAGAAAGTGGTAGGTGATAAAGACTTTGTATTTTTGAGGTATCATATATTTTTCCAAACAGAAGTTCGCATTCTATTTAAAAATCACTATCAAATTACATTGGGCACTTTTAGGACCTAGTTCACACTGCCCAATAGAGTTCACAGACAGCCTGTAGGAAAATGCTTTCAAGCATGACGTTTAGCTGCTTCAATTAGAGATATTTGTTTTTCTTCTCTTGACCTTTAAACAATAAAACTTAGTCACAAGGAATAACTGAAGTTGTATTTTTGAAATAATTAAATAAGACCGTCAAACACCACCTGTCCTTTCCTCTACTGAAGAAAGATATTGAAGGTTTCTTATAAGAAAAGCATACATTCAGCCTTTTAAGAGAGTGTATCTGCCTTCTAAATCGTTTCTTAATCTTGCCTACCTTTCAATGTTTCCATCTGTGATGTCTTGAACCTTATTGGATAGGTCAGTATTAATTTTCTCCATTTGATCTTTGTTCTCCAGGCCTATGCTGTTCCCATTGTACTTCTCTGTGGTTATTTTGTTTGGGTGCGGAGGAGACTGCTCAGAACTTGGTGCTTGGTCCTCCTTAGAAAGCTCCTTCCACCGTTTCTGCAAACAAGGAGAACATATTTCAAACACTCCCCTAACACTGAAGGCCCTCTTTGCCCAAGATGTCTTCCAACAAAAGAGTCAAAGAAGTAGATTAAAGGAACTATTAGGAAAAAAAAAAAAATTGCTTGATGAAGAAATAAGGTTAGGTGAAGATGCGTCCTTTCCAACAATGATCCCTTTTTATATTTCTCCAGGATGATGCTACTGTGAAGGTATGAGGCCACTAACTTTGGGGTTTGTATTGTCCACAGTAGCTCCACAATGAGGAAGGAACTTGGCTTGTGAAGTCCTTCACTGTCCAGCACTTTCCATCTCTCTCTACTCTCTACAGGCCTACGCTGTGCTGTTACCTTTCGTGGCTCCAAAACACAGTAGGACCTTACGTGCAAGAACTGCCTAAAAAGAGAGAACTGGAAAAATTTGCAACACCAATGAAAAAAATCTAGGGTTATTTATGCCAAAGTCATGACCTACTATTTCATCTAGTGGTCCATTAGCCCAGAGATCTACTGCTATCATAAAACAGATATTCACCTTGTTTTGAGAAGTAATCTGAAATTAGATGGAAGGAAAAAAAAAAAAAAAAAAAAAAAAAAGATCAGAAGTAAAACTGGTTTGCTAGATCTCTGTCCTAATGATCAATAGTCTGAAGGATTTCTAGACTAGAAAGGTAGAAGGAAACTAGAAAAGTAACAAGGAGGAAAAGAACCGCCCCTAAAAAAACCCAATCAGTTCTTTCCTCACACAGATCAGCCAGCCTGTAAAGATACAGAATACCTTGGGGGAAAAAAAATTAGCTACTTTTAAATGTCTATGATAAGGAAGATGAACTGAAAATTGACTTTCACAAAGTAAGTGTTAGATTCTCGTCTGTGGAATGAATTCAAGACTGCCGGTCTAAACTAAATATCAAACTTGGAAAGTGATGTCAAAAAAACCCAGCTACTTATAGATGAACTGCTGGCAGAACGAGCTTTAACAATGAACCAACTCCTCCATTGCAGAGGAGCTTCCACTATAGATCTGGAATTCACAAAGGGAGTCTTCATGCACAAGACACTTCACTGTCAGGGGTTTTCTTTGTTTTGTCTTAAACAAACAAACAAAACCCAAAAAAGAAACAGCCACTAACAAACGGAAATCCATTTAGCAGCTCCCTCTTATTGTCATGGAAAAAGGCCTTTTGGAAGACATAGTTGCTGACTAAGGATGAATACTGATTTCATCTGGAGTGATAAGCCACACAGGAAGAACTGAAACCAGAGACAATTTTACTACTCTTGTCAAACAGAAGGAATTTCCTACCAAGAATTCTATTTTAAACATATAATAACAACAGATCAAATGGCTGGTAATTTTAAGTTTAAACATCTATGACAAGACTAAGTGAATGGCAGGACTGGTAAAATAACGTACAGCTTGGAGCAGACAGACACGGAGGGTTGTGTTGCTAAATCACCTTTGCCATTTTATGACAGTACCTGCAACTTTACAAAAAGAACGACAAAAGCATATCTCGGGAACTGAAGTACTATACTGCATCTTGTGAAATTATGGCTGGAAGAAATGAAGAAGTGATGAAATGCGATTTAAGATTACCATTGTCCTTAAATTATAACCAAAATGCCTGTGCAGGGGAGCTAGACTTAGGGCCTGTACTGCCTCTTGGAATGAAGGGACACAACGGAAAGGCATGTTAGGATGTTCAGTTGACATCATCAGGTGAATGTCAGATACAGTTTTTGGATTTACAAGTTTCAGTACAAAACTATAACATTCTTGTTCTCTGTCTGCAAAGCACATCTACGGATCTAAGGAATTCAACCTTCTTTGTCCTTTCAAAGCCACAAATTTGTTTTCCAGAGACCACTCATTTCAACAGATTTTTCTGAAAGAGTGATGATAAGTTATTCTACTATGTTGTTGAAGCAATATTAACTTATCTTTATTACAAAGGAATTCTACAGAAATGAATATTTCAATCTTGTTCCACCTCAGCCATTTTATATAGTGCAGTGCCGTAAAATAATTGGAAGCAAGTAATTGTTTCAGCTACAGCACCATGCAGCGGCACACCAACCACACACCTCTGCAGGCCTTCAGGGCAACCTCAGCGAGTGCCTGATCCTTCCTTTCAGTCACGGGTGGAAATCCTACTGGTGCTGAACGAGGGGAAGAGACTCCTCTCCCCCACACAGGCGCTGCAGTTGCAGCCACTAGCTGTAAGCAAGTGAAGGTTTTCAAGTATACGTTGTGTTTGTCTGCAGAGTTTACTGACTTCCGAGATCCGTGGAGACATCAGAGGTGAACGTTTGGTTAATGTTATATTAGAGAAGCGTTCAATGACTTCATGACCTCCAGTTGCTAGCAGAGAGAAGTAAACCTGTACTCTCACGCCCTGGACAGTACAACTGTTCCATACGCGGGGAAAAAAAACACGATCTAGCTGACCTTGAAAGGAGAAATACTCCTATTAAGTACTGCCAATTGATTTTCTGCACATGACCCTAAGGCCGTAAGAGAAAAGCACCAGGACAGCTGCCTGCACTGCAGAAAGCACTGGTTTAAGAAAGATCATCTGAACAATCATAACAAGAAAAAGAAAAAAAGAACAACTGAGACGTGTGCCTTCATAGGCATTCTCTTAGTATGAAGAAATAACACACTTGAACCTGACAAGCAATATTCTGAGTTGACAATGCTTCCTTGTATACAGAAACAAGAAATCCTGTGATCTAGATGGGTAAGTGCGGGAACCAGAGCTGCTCACAGTTTGGAGCACAGCTTTTTAAAAAACAAAGCACAAAAATTATTAGAAAGAATACCATCATACCACCAGAAACAGCTTCCAGAAAATAAGGAGGCTAAATTGCTGTTAATGTTATGATGAATCATGCAGTCTTCTAAGCATGTGGCACAGGTGTCAGACTAGCAGCACACTACCTAGGTGTTGATTAGTAATTATGCAAAATTATTTCTTTATTTACATAGCAAGTCAAGAAACATTTGTCAAAGAGAAAAATCTGACAACTACCAGAACCACAGAAAAGAGGAAATGTGTTTTAGCTTATCTGCTTCATTCACGATTTTAAGAAATCAACAAAATAAAAAAGCCCTAGCATATGAAAGCAGAATTAAGTCTGTTTCGCAGCCTCTCCTCCCAGTCCTCCCTTCCACCTAGCCCAAGCCATTCAAAATAGCTGTAGCTACTCTTACATCTGAAAGCCGCACTAATAGTGAGATTTGGTAATCTGTTTGCCCCAAAACTCATTATATTTGGCTAGATTCTACTAACTGTAACACATGACTGTCAGGAAAATACATAGCGAAGTTCAAGAAATCATAAAAAGATCCTTACTATCTTTTCAAAATGATACTGGGCATTACTTTTGCTTTTAAGTATTAAAGATATAGATTTAACCTTTTTTTTTTTTAAACATTTGTACAGTCAAGTTATTTTTATATTTTATCTAAGAGGGGACAAATACATAGGATTAGAAGTTTAGCTGATAGAAGGCGCTGATCAGGTACCCTCTAACACCTTCTAGGCATCTACTGAAAACAGCAAATTATTTAAATCCCACAAAGTTACATGTTTTAATACAGTTTGGAGCTCATTTTTAAATACTGTTAGCAGTCTACTGTTTATGTTTAAATACACGAGCTAAACATTTACCTGTATAGTTGAATCCCCCATTATAAATTTTGCTCCTTCTATTACAGCCATATATGAAAATCTTAGTTGATCAGGAGTCTGAATAAGTCCCATACGGTATTTTCTCATATCCAGTAATACCTTCTTAATATCTACAGAAAATGGGTCTTTTTTTTCCATCTGTAAAGAAAGTTACATCAAAAGTGTCATTGCTATTGAAAGGAAGACAACATAGAAAAAATAACTATAAATAAAAATTAGTCATAAAATTAAATCTAAAAATTAATTTCTTCATACTATGTTTCTATTACTTATATATGAAATTAATATCTCAAATGATTTCTAAATTGTTTTTACAGGAAAAAAGCAAACCATCTAATGAAAGCTTATTATGAACAAATCAATGATCATGTATTAACAAAATAAATCAGTACCCTAATACCAAGTCTTAAAATTAAGAAACTTAGATATGCTTTATTTTATTCAGGCATGTATTTGTACTTTGAAATAGGACTGCGAGAATCAGAACCGTAAAGCAGTATTTCCCACTGCTCCTGAATGGAAGAGCAATTCGGAATGACTGAATGTGGCAGAAGTTTCCTTATTTAAAGCAGAGCCCCTAATCCAAGCAATGCACACACTTGTCCCCACACTGCATTCATGGGGTGTTTTTAACCACGTATCTGCATTTCTTGCAACATTCATTTTGATTCTTCCAATATTAAAGTATACTTGCATCAAAATGTACACCTATGTTTTCCAAAATGCAGAAAAAAAAGAAAAACTGAAGAAAATATGAAAAGTAAGTTGAGAGGACCTAACCAAACCAGAAGACGAGTGTCTTATAATTTAAATGAAATCCTATTTCACCTAACCCTGTGCTGTATTTCTATACAAAGCACAGCCAGAGAGAAAAAGTCTGTGTCTGGACTTTAAAATCCAACAAAAATTTAAAGATATTTTAAATACTATTTAACATTTAAAGTTCACTCAAGTCATGAGCAATTATAGATGATGCAGTTCACCGAGTACAGAAAAAAAATCTACTCATTCATGTGGCACTGCAACTGGCTACCAAGCCCCACCTCCCAGAGAGCTGCACAGGTAGGGAAATTCTGCACCATCCTCCATTACACACAGCAGGAGATCCAGGCACATGCCCAAGTTCTCATCCTAGTTCAGATACCAATTTTCTGCAACCTTAAGAAAAGGGGCCTGTCAGACCTGCAAGATATGCCATGTTTAGAGAAAAGACTTACATATTCAGTTGTCTCAATATATATTCACAAGCCTAACTTTAAGCTCACATTTTAAAAAAACCAACAACTCAACCTCTTCTAAGCATATCTTATATAAAAGGAAAAGAATGCTTACTATTTACTTTCCAGGAAGCTTTGAAAATGTGTAATGTACTTCAAGATGGATTTGTAAATGTGTTTCAAGAGCTGTGTTTTTAAACTGTCAAAGTACGTGATAGAAAAAAAAAGTACGATGTCTTAAAGTTTTCACTGGCATGTCATTAACTTAAATGCTTTTAAAGCTTTCTGACCAAAAAGCCCGTATTGGGAAGGGAGGCAGGGCATCAGGAAAAGGAAAGGGGTGACAGAGAAAACAACCAAACACTTACCAGAACAAGACAAGTGTCTACTAATGAAAACGTGCCGGAACGTCCTATCCCTGCACTGCAGTGAATGACTGCAGGTCCATGTTCAGGACTTAGTGAACCAGACTCTCTGACTTTAAACAGGAAGTTCAGGAATGAAGCTGGGGATTCAGGAACTCCAAAGTCTGGCCATGTAGTATAATGAAAATGGAAGATCATCCTGGACTCACCACTCTAGAAGTGAAAACAAATAAACAATACAACTAGAAAGTATTCTACTTTTCTTTAGTTAGCACACATTTCCCCAATCTAAATCAATAGCTATTTCTTACTTTAAACCTCCCATTTAGACAAACAATCCAATAACTTGGTTCAAATTGGGTGACAACCAACAGTGCAACGTGAAGCAGGTTTTCATCTGTGTTCGTGTTGGTAATTTTCCCCTTTGCAATTATTACCACACACATTTATTTTTTTAATCTGCTCAAACTTCCAATACTGTATCTGGTTTGCTTTACTACTTGCTCCCAAATTTTCTTCTTTTTCTACCATTAATGCAGCTTAATGGCTGACAGCAGCTAATAGACTGCTAGCATTAATACCACTGAAAAAAACAACCCGTCAGCATTTTAAACACTCTCCGCTCTTGCTTAGAGCAAATTTTAGTATCAAGAGGTATTAGCATCTCCATTATACGAACCACACTAGTGAGAGGAGCAGGAAGATTTATGCAAAAGGCCTATAAGAACCCATACAGCAGGATGTCTAGTAAGACTTCTGCTGGACATATTCATTCTTTGTAAGTAAGAAACAAGGATTCCAAAACCACGCAGTTCTTTTAGAACCATGCAGCTCCTCTCCTATCATGACCAACTAACTGCAAGTATTGAAATGACAGCAAGAGAGTATGTATATATCTGAAAAGCTTTGATGACAAATTTGGATTGTATTTTTATGGAACTCACTTCAGACCTGCTGTTAAATGCTACTCCTTGCACAGTGATTTTGAGACAACTTGATCACTGATGTAAGCTCAGGAATTTTAGAAAGGTTCAGGTTTTTTTATCCTCCCTCCATTTCATCTTAGTTTCCACAGAGACTGTAAACCTACAGAAACCTCCACAAAGTCAGAACACAAGAAGGTATTTTAAATATCGATGTATATCAGAAAAGCTATTTTTCTTTTTCAGCAACAGTAAAATATAGCTATGAAATTCAAATAAATTCTATTGTTCTTCATCTGCTCAGTCTGTTTCAACTTCTTATGAGGGACAACTGAAAAAACTCCTTTGTGAAACTAAAATAATCCAGTTCATGGTTACCACAGTAACAAAAGTACCCTCCCATTTTGTCTTTTGCCTTCAACACCTGATACTGCAAGAATGTCAATACTTTCACAGAAAACAGTGGATATAACATGACTCAAGTCACTCTCAAATGCACAGTTATCTTCCAGGAATATTTTGTCTTTTGGCTAAAGGCTCAACAAGGACAACAGGGTCTGATCCATCATATTGGGAAAATAAGTACACAGTAAGATTTCAAAGGGGGAGGGGGGGAAATCTACCAAGGCCTAAATTGCATAAGTACACTGGGATTTCCCTTTCTTACTTGTCTGAAGCAAAGAATTAAAAAAAAGTTTGCATTTTCAACTGACATCATCTTATTGGTCTTCTGCACCCAGTTTTTCAACTAGTGACTTAACTCACTAATCAACTGAAATGACCCATTTGTTAAAAAATCATGAAGGAGATACTTTTTTAATGAGAAATCTGGAAATTAAGAGTGGAACTTAACACTCTTAAGCAATTTCCTCTAAGAAAAATAATTCATCAATTTACGAACAAAATTAAGAGGAAAACTGGAGAGATGAGCTAAATGCACACACTAGGTAAAGCAAAGGTTAAAGCTATTTCTTGTGAATCTAGATGATACCTGGAAGCAGTAATTGATACTCCCTACTCCCTCCCCCCAGATTCTTAAATAGCATTCTAGACAAAAGCCTCCCTTATACCTCAAGAAGGCAAAAATGCCCTTAGCTATAGAAAACAAAGGTGATCTGTGGTTTGTTTGGGTTTTTTCCCAAATCCTACACTGTAACAAGCACTAGCATCCTCCTCCTAAAGAAACCCAGTAGCACTTCAAGCACATGGCCAAGCATCACCCTGTTCATACACTAATCTGAAAATAGGTATTTCTAAGGGAGAGATTAAATAGTGCTGTTGTACATCTCATCCAGCTCCAACACACAGAATTACTTTTTTCTTCCTCCTCATACTGCACGAAGGCTTTATCCTTCCCACAATTTTCTATCACTTCACCTCATTTTAAAAATATCTAGTCTCTTCATCTTTTTTCACGAGTGCCATTTTAGTGCACCAGAACTGGCTGGTCTTCTTTGAACCTGCAGTTTCTAATCGTACAGCCAAATCCCATTTGTATATTTCAAACCTCCCACATTTTCTCTCTTAAACAGAATGGCTCTTTCAAGTGGTGCTTGGCAGTCAAGCTGTGCAGCTGAAATACTGCCTTTGTGTGAATATCTGTACTACCCTTTCTTAAAGAACACCCCCCCCCCGGCACTGAGCCATGCACCACAGCTATGACTTACGTGAAGTGACACAGGACTGTAATGAGAAAAGGTTTGGCTTGCTAAAGATTCACAACTATTGGTGGACAGAAATTCAATTTTAAAGAACAACTAATTTTATCTACAGTGTTATCAGAAAACTAGATATTCTTCTAAAGAAAAAAAGCTGAACTTCAAGGCTCAGGCAGTAACATAAAATTTTATATATTTGATACACAGGGATCACATTTCTGCATTATAACTGAAAATCAGCTTATTCTATGGTAACCACAACATATTCTTCCAAGATTTATTCCTTAAGACTAGCTACCAAAAGAAAAAAAAATATTCAAAAAATCCTTGAATGATCGTGGGACAACATTTAAACAAAAAACTTTTCAAGAAAATGAGTCAAACCATTCTAGTGAAAGTTTCACAAACTACAGGGATAAGCTTTCAGTAAATAACCAACATAGCTAAACCTGATAAACTCAGAAAGTTACCACCACACTGCAGAGTCCTCCACTGACTGCTGGCAACACTAACAGCATAATGAAAGGATGATCAAACCACAAGCCATGCTCCAGGTTACAAGCAGACATCCACACAAGGACTTCAGCAGAAAAATAATATAATGTCATTAAACAAACTTTCATCAAAACAAGCCTTGTCATACCCTTTTTACATTGACTATCCTATCACTCAAAACAAAACCGTACAAAAGTCTTAGAAAAACTTTAGGTTGTTCCATCACCCCAGAGTATGAACATGAATAAAATACTACCAAAATGCTCAAAGGAAATTGATGCCTTCAGTGTCAGTTAAAACAGGTGAAGACAGAAAAATGCTGGTCTGTCAAATTTCACACACTCCTTATAAAAGCCTTCGTTTCATAGTTTAAGGGCTACCGAAATGGTCTAACATATGAAGGTGTAAAATACACGTACAACCCCATAGAGGTCCTGTATTTAACGATCATGCCTTACGTGCATTAACAACTAATTTGATCATATAAAAATGAGAAGGCATGCCATAAAGGGAATATTCTAAGCACTGAAATTAAAAATCTTAAATCAACTTTTACCACAACTTCTTCTATTTGTTCATTCTAATGCTTGGCAAAATGATTTTCAAAATCTACATAAAAATGGCAATGAGGATAATGGCTCCAAATAATCATCACAAACATTGTGGGATTTTTTAATAACTACTGCCTATCCTGCAAGTCAACATGGTAATAGCTATGCCCACTGAATCTGCAAAACACTTGACATTCAAGTGAGTCTGGGTTCTCCTTTCCTGACACCAATACCTTTCCTAACACCTCAGTCTTATTCCTGTGGTCCTGAAGACCAAAATTAATCCCTGTTGCAGTTTGACAGAAGTGATATAAAGACATCCCACAAGTTTAAAAGCAAGTGAATGCCATGTCTCAGAAATCCCTTCAGAACACTATAGGAATTACATACATATACACATCCATATACAGAGATATCACTAGATCCCAGAACATCGCCTGCCATTAGACTGCTTGCCTCCAAAAACAAAAGATCTTCTCAGTACCTTTAACATTTTGGACATTGTAAACCAGCAGCAAAGCAAATCTTATCTTCTTGAATTACACTGACTCTTCCTGGTTCATCCACAGGATCAGATAGTGAGGGCCACTAAACAGTCTTGTGTCACCTTAATCTGACAGCAATGGCCACACAGAGGCTTCGTACTAAGTCGAGAATCCATTTTGCTAATGGGTTTTTCCAGATATTTGCTATTTGCAGAGGACTCAACATTCCACTCGGGGTTTATTAATGGTCCTTACTCTAAAGCATCATACCACCAGGGTCACATCAAGTCTAGTTCATTTCTACTAGGCCTTTCTCTTCCAGCAAGTATTTTCTTTGCAAGCCTCTCCTTTGGCTGCTTTATTCTTATTCCTAGGAACTCAGCCTGAGACACATTCATCAAGGTTCCTCCAGCAATTTCAATTCCTTTCCACTGCTCCATTTCCTCACCCAGTCAATCCCTGGTTTCCCTCAAGTACTAAAGCTCATTTGCCCTCCCATTGCTTCCTGGAATTCCCCAGTATCAACAGTGAGGTTTTGCTTATAAGCATTGGTTATGTGTCACACTGTATCTTTCTCCAGGCTATCTGGGTTGCCACATCAGAAAACAAAAGTTTTCTTTCTGTAAAGACCAGTATTTATACTTGTGACAAGGAAAGCTAAAAGCAGCAATAAAGAATAATATAAAAATACATACTCGACACAAGGTGGTGGAGTCTTCCAGAAGTCAGCTGTCAATATCTAACAATTCTCCCATAATAAGGTCACAAAACTTAGCAACCCCATCCAATAAGGTTATTTTACAGGTTTAACAAAAGGCTCTCAAACACCTATCACTCCTCTAGTATACTGGGAGACTTTGCTTCAAATCACAGACATGCAATAGGTTCTCACATAAATGATTACAAATTTTTAACATGAGCACAGTATTTTCCTTCTACCCTTATTTTCCAAGAGGCAAGGGTTTGTGGAAGCCTTCACAGTCAGTCTTTTCTCAAGGAGAGTTCTGAACCTGAGCAATTACAGCAGAAAGCAGCAGCCAGCTTCCAGAAGAGCTGACAATTGACACCAACAAAATGATGGAAGATATGCAATGAACCATGGTGGAAAGGCAGCTTCAGATTACTACATTCTAAGATGCATACTGGGTCAGGCAAAAAATAAGGAAATTCCACAATAATAACCCACAAGAAAAAGCACATTAGAAATATTTTCAAAAATTTTGGAAAGATACCAATAAACACGATCTCCTCTCCAAAGCTTTATTGGACTAGACTAGCGGCAACAGCAAAAACAAACATCTGCCTTTAACAGATATAAACAAATCAAACCACCAAATGTCTTATCTAATCCTAAAAAACAAACATTGCCTGCCCCCCTCCCAACCCCACCTGTACTTCTAACTGCTCTTTAACAAAACAAAAGAAAACCACCACCACCACCAAAACCAACTGAATACTCAGAGGTTCTTTCACTGGTAACAACCTTAAACAAGCACTTTACTCTCCATACGCATGTATTTTGCTCATGTATTAGAGAGATTTGTTGCAGTAACACAAATTTACTTGAGTTCAGAATGCTTGCATTATAAAGACAATTCTAGTTCTGTTTTCAAGGAAATACTAAATTCTCTTAAGTATTCTCGGAATTCAGAGTATATCTTGTTCATGAGTCACCTTATATTCCAGGCGTCAAGTGGGTAAATGTCTTACTACTCTGCCTCCACCAAAGATCCCTCCAGAATAACTTGCATAAACATAGTTAAGCTCACATTTCAAGTTACTGTGAATACTCAGTTCCCAAAGTTTTCTGGTATAATTAGCAAATTCTGGATACAGTACAGAAGGCTGCACTTAACATTTGCAGTGTTATTCTAGAACTATGTAGTTCTGTTTGAGTAACCAAGAATGTTCTACCTGTAGCTATTTTACATAAAAAAAATATTTTTTGGAGTTAATATTTGTGGAGCATTACAGGAGCACTATGCCATTAAAATAAAAATTCAATACAGTAAGTTTGCTAAGTATTTGTGAAACTGATTTACATGACATACAAGAAACACTGTACAGCACTGATGGGCTCACATTACCAGTCCAAAGCAAACCCAGAAATTTAAGTGCTAAATAGCTCCAACTCAAAAGTCTAATATAGTATATGTGCTGTTCCTCATGGGATTTCTGCATTTTCCAGCTAACGTTATGTCCAAACATACACATATCATGAAAATTGCATCCTTTGAAAATAGGAAGTTTAAGATTAGGGGCCAACATCAGCCAGACAATGCTGCAAAAAAGCCTTTTCAGTAGTTAGGAAAACTTGCCTCAGCTTTCCAAAAAGGAGAGTTATACTTTCTCAGGCTCTAACTTGCAAACACTGCTCTTTTCTTTGCCTTTGCTGTCAATAAACAAACAACTAAACAGAAATTCTTCAGGTCAGTGGGACAGATTTTCATAAAGCTCTTCTTATATTGAATAGACTGAGGAACAACATACCAAGCATTACCACGTTGATCTTGTGAGAGAGGTTTCAAATTAACAAACATTATCTCAAAGTACCATTAATAGTTACTATAAATTCAAATAATTTTGACCAAACATATCAATCTTTAGTTGTATAAAACAACATGCAAAGGAACATCTTCAAGCTTTGCTTTCCCAAATCCACTGACAAGACAACCTTGAATAAAACTTGCCATACTAGCACTTTCAATTAATATAAGGCAAGGTTTATAGGGAGAGAGAATATCTTACAAGACATAGCTGGAACAAACAGACAAGCTCTTCAATCCTGTCTTCAGCTCTGAAACAGAAGCAGCAAATTCCAACCCAAGCTCAGGCCAGGAACAATTTTTTTTGAGCTTAACTTGATTAAATTGTCAAAGTGCTCTAATTTTTAAGAGAAAAGGATGGTTGGTCCTGTGGAGCAAAAGGGGAGGTAAGCAAGAGGAGATAAAGTTACCTATCTACAGGTGGTAATCAGCCCTCCCCCCAAAAACTTATATAGCTGGACTGATTTATATGGAAAACTAAAGTTTCATTAAAAAAACCAGTAATTACTGAGTCTGATTTCTGATATTCAAAAGAAATTAGAATTTTCAACTCCTACGTTCCTCCTTTTAGGGTATTTCTTACAGCTCCTCTTACAATCACCGCTACCATCAATTACAATTCATCTTGTTAAGGTACTGCCAAATGGAAAATATAAATCTAAAAATGCTGAAGCTGTTATCTCTTTTAATGTATAGATTAATTCAGGTCTAACCCACTTGCTTATACGCCACACATACATCTTCAACATTATCAGAAGCAAAGTGCATTAAAATTTTCAGTGTAAAAGCTCAATCAAACCTGTAGTGACAATATGCTGAACAGTTGTCATTATATACTTAAGCCCAGGAATATGAGCTCTACAGACTGAGAAAAGCTTACGTTGATATTTTCTAATTGCAGTAGATGTACTGTGTAATAGGATTTGATGTCTTCGGATACTAGCCTCACACGGAAACCTGTTTCACTGAATGTCATAACTTCCTCTTCTTTTGTTGGCCAGTATTGTGCACACTTCACCTATTTTATTTTTTTTAAAAAAGGAGAGGAAAAAAAAAAGAAAAATCTGGTTAAGTATCCTCATATCTTGGGCTTTGCATGAGCCCATTCTGAGACCCCATTATTCAATAAAGTAGACTCAAGTACCTGCTCCCAATTTGAGGGATTCTCAAAGTCCGTAACGTTTACAGCCAAGTTACTACAACTGTTTCAATAGGTATTATGCATTCCAGCTTTATCTGTTTATGCTTTCTTTCATCACAGGGATAGCATGTTTTAAGATATACCTTAACCATTCTCCCTCTGCCCCCTCTAGTTCTCTACAGTGAACAGAGATCTTTACTCAGCTACTTCAACAACATTTCCCTCCTCCATTTCTGATGTGCACACCTGCACATTTACATAACTGATGTAACACATCAGTTTTCCCAAGGCTTGCTGAATACTGGAAGATTCTAGTGAAACAAAAGGATGCACTAACAAAGCTATGCAAAACTGTCTCTTGTCCTTTACTCCTCTTGCCCTGCACTCAAACGTTCTGTAGGAAAATTTCTGCATGAGAAAGTAAGTGACTTTTTAATGGACTACTCAGATCTTTTTCACTAACAAATCTACTCTGAAGAAAAACCATAAATTTCAATGATATGCATTTATAACTAAAATTCGCAGTGGTTTTAGGCACATTAGCAGAAAAACTACATCGTAACAAAAGATTAATGTATTCTGCATGTATAACACCAGCTGTAACAAATCAAAAATAACTAGATCAGTTTGCCAGCTGCTGGGCAGCAGCTTGTCTTCATTGTTACAGTTAAGATCACTATATAACAAATATACTACTCTGTTAGATTTAGAAGAAATAATCTGAAGATACTTTAATGCAAACTTGTTTTCCCATCTTCCATTTTGTTCTAGAGCATCTTACACTGCTTCTACTCCATCTTATTTCTAGCTGTACGTCCTCCTTTCTCAGGATGTTACTTTCACCTTTCTGGATATACATTTATTACATGCCGTTTTCCCCAAACTGAATTTTGTGTCTTAGCTTCATCACTTTAATGTTACATTAAACACATGTTACATTGTACACCAGTGAGAAAGTCTGTTGATTCTTTTAACATAACAATCAAACATTGTTCAACTGTATTAAAATTATGTGGCTTACTCTACCACTTTAGGCCTAATATTACTTACCGATTCTTTTTCAACAGTTCTGTTCAGCATGACAACTGCTTTTGTCTGTTGTTGCCATACCATTAGCCAAAAATGACAACATGTATTAGGTAGTGGACCCTGTGTAGTAAAAAAAAAAAATGGGTGTGAGAACATACAGGCAAAGCAGTGTTTGAACACAGTATTTCACTGTGTGAAACAGGAAAGTCTTCCTCTGAGAAGTTTAAACAAATTATTAATAGAATGATAGAAATGACAGACAAGAAAGTAACCACACTGCACAGATCATTCCAGTACTTAAAAGTTGTTTGGTTTTTGGAAAAAAGAAAAAAAAAAAAAAAGAACAAACCATAAACAAACAACAAAACAGTAAGAACTCAGGGAAGGGATGTTTCTGTTTGGGCATCAATACTATTGTGCTGTTAAAAGAAAAGCTATTGCAGGCATGCTCAGAAGGTACAAGATGAAATAAGGGATAAAGTTATGGTTGTAACCTATTTCCAAAAGAACTGAAGAAAAGAGCAACACATATGTGAAAAGCTTTTTATGCATTAAATTATTCATACTTAAGTATTCCCTTTAGCTTTTTCTTAAAATACAAAATAATGTGTTCACAACTAGATCAAACAGGCAGTTAGTATGAGATATATATAATTCACAGAGACAAGGAACCATCCAAATACAAATTACAACTATACAAATCCCCCTCCCCCAGATTCTCAATCCCTATCACAACCTAGTAATTGGTACTACTTACCTGTGTTAAAATATAGTATCTCTGGGCTTCTTCTGTGACCACTAGGCTGGCATTGATATAGTCATTCTCGGTGTTCTGCAGTTTTACACGACTATGATCATCTAAAATTCAAAGAAAATTAAGAATTAATGATGCACTGATCTTGATGAATACTGTTTAACAGGCAAGTTTAGGTCTGACAAGCAATTAGAAATAAATTCTGCAGTACTAACCAAAAGGCAAACTACAAATATACGTGAAACTAATTTCTCATGTACCTTTGATAACTGCCTGTCTCATTCTCCCCTCAGCATTCCATCAGAGTAATTTCAGGCAGCTACTAATAGAAGCTGCTCAGAAAACTGGAATACCCAGTTTCTTTAAAAAACCCAATCAAACAAAACAACCCTCCCACACATGCTGAAAGATGCTCACAGTCATCCCTCAACACTTGTATTTCCTTAACACAACAAACAGCAGCATAACCCACACCAGGCAGCACTCTCTCCTATCATACCAGATCACTCCACTGCATGGTATCCTTTAAGTTCAGAATTCCAAGGTTTTTGGTGAACTGAAGTTTCATAGGTTGAGGGAGAATCAACAAGTTAAACTCACACAGCTTAAAAAAAACATAATAAAAAAAAACTTCTACTTGCAACAATTCAAACCAAGCTTTGATCAATTTAATTTTCCCTGTAATTTATTAATACTATACAAATTAAAAATACAAAAGAAAGGGCACATGCAAAAATGTACCTATTTAAATTAAATGAAACCTAATCTAATCACACAGCTTCAGTCTCTCACTATTACACAGGCAAGACAGAAGATTCCCCTATTTATGGCAGAGGCAACCAAAGGACTAAATTTAAAATTCTAACATTGATATGAGAAAGATTATCAGACTGTCATACTAAAACACTGCAAAATAAAAAGTCGCTGTGGCTGTTGCTAGAACCTTTTAGTATCTGATTTATCACCCTCTAGGAGACAGTTAGGTAATCAGACTTGTTCACAGTAAGTAATCCTTCAGCCATTTATTAGAACTGTATTAAATAAACAGCATTTTTAGTTTAAGATTTGTACACAGCTGCATTCCAGGAAATGAGATCCAACTGACTGGACAGACTGCTTATGAGAAGAGTAAATAAAAAAATAGCAAACTAAAATGAGTTTAAGAGACTTCAACACATTTCACAAGAGATGGAAAAAAATTCCATAAAGAAACTAACAGAGCTGAGAGTGAATTTCAGTCCAATGCCAGTTTTTAACCTACGTTCACCTGGTCTAACCCACAAAACTCATTCAGGGTACAGACTGATGGCACAGCTGCTGTTAAAATGTCAGCCCCCTTTTTCCTCTACCATCCCTACACCAAAAGGCTAACTTCCTTTTGACAAACATCTTGGGAAATGCACAAAATCCATGAGTTTTAACATGAGTAACTACCAAGAATCACACATTCAGGACAGCTATGATAGCTGAACGCAGGTTTAAGTCCCCATATCACAGCCAGTCTATACAGCATAAGGCTTATCCAAGAAATCCACAAATATGACCCCAGATAGGAAAAAAGCTGATGGGAATCAAAAAATAGTTACTGAATTAGACTCTTTTCCTATGGGCTGCTCATATGATTTTATAAATACTTTCCATATGTTTGGAAACCTGGGAAAAGTACATTTACCAGGTCTTGATCTGCTTTTATACTCTCCCTCATCTATCTGCTATTGGCAACTGTCAAAGAGGATCTTGCTGGATTCAAGGAGAGAATTTGGCAGTAAATTACCTTTTTTTTTTTTTAAAAGGACTGAGATTTGGGGTTGTTATCCTATCTCCTTTAGCTACTAGCTTTTATATGCACTCACACACAAACGTACAGAGAACAGAAATATGCTGGAAAACCTATTTTTAATATAAAAGTATGAGAAAGTTATTGGTTTAGTCTGTTTTCATTAGCATTCCAGCTGTAAGGCAACACCATCTTGACTTTCAGGAGTCTTAAAACAATTTATGATACATCTGTATGATGAAAAAAACATTATCAAAGCCAAGTCACAGTAAAATTAAGACACGTGCATTTTAAAGTAAAACATAGCTCCTTGTATTATTTGTCTGGATAGGAAAGTGTTACTTTTTCCTTTCATGTACCACTTTATCTGAAATGTTTCTACTGGAGAGAAATCAAGACCTTTGTAAATATTACATGTCATTTGCCAACAGGAAAAACTTAAGATCTTGTTATAGTAAATCACACATACCGGTACTAGTGTTCTCGGAAAGATGACGTAAGCAAGCACTGTTAACAGTTTAATCACCCAGCAGCAGCTGCAGTATTGCTGCCAGTAGGAGATAATTGCCAAGGCCCTAATGAGGTTTTCTACCGTAATCCTTACACACATTTTCAGCCTTATTTTTTCCTTATAAATTCTGCTTTGTAAACATGACAAATAAAATTCTGAAAGGTTTTTTAAAAGCCCCTTTCACAACTAATTCTATGCACAGTCAGCCTCCCTCCTCCTCCCTAACTAAAACAGAGGCAATCCTACAAATACACTGGCAAACACGCCACAGGACAAAGAAAACCACGAGAATATATTGATTTCCCTTCTTTCAAGGGAGAAGGTTTCTAAAGGACACAATGACCCAGAAACCTTGTTCAAGCCCTGGCTTGCTCTTCTGAATTAAATGAAGCAAGCCAACTTTTGACAGCGAGTTAGCTGTAACATATTTCCCGTATGTAAATCATTTCCAGTTACAAAGTACTTTAGATTTATATGAACGATAAACCTATCTTAAATCTTATCTTAAAGATTTGTCTTAACTGTTGCCATGCCCACAACAGCTAAAATATAGTACTCATTTTCTGAAGTGCTAATTCCCCTATTTCAACAAACTATGCAGCCTGAAAAGGAAGTGGAAACCTTAAAAATGCTTCTCATTCTGGCTCCTGCACTAAGAAAAGTACTCCCAGAACAACCCTGTCTGAGATAAGCAAGTTCTCATCACCCACTTCAAGTGAAACCCTGTCCAACTGATACCACTGACAACACTCCTGGTGTCTCAAATAAGGCCAAGACTTCACATTACACATCAATTTGCCCACTCCTTGCTAAAAAGAAAAATACACATCCAGTTAAAACCGAGATAAGAAACATTTGGCATTTTACATCACACAGTCCTTGCAGTTGGTTAATGTAAGGTTTTTATTTGAAAACAACTGTGTTTCTAGAAGTGAAACCACTGTGTAACTTAAAAATTCTCTTTTATCCAAGAGATCTCTCTGGCTCCCCAAATATACAGCTATTAACAACAAAGGAGGGTGAAATGCTACTTAGGGGATTAAAGAAAGTCATAACAAAACATGTAGCCATAAGCCATCCCAATGACCCAGTCTGACCCCTTCCCCACCTACCAGCAAATCCCCTTCATTAAATTATTCAAATTACAATACTCTGTCACTAGACCTACAGTCTCAAGTTTCAGAGGTAGCCTAAGGCAAAAGAAAGGCGAAGTGACTTTTCCCCACCCTGTCACTGGTTGTACGCAATGAATACCATATCAATCACGGCCTCGCTCGTAACTGAAATGTGTTCATACTGAAATATATGCATAACTACCTCACAGGATCCTTACCTTTTTAAGCAGGACTGTGAAAAAAAAACTTAAGATACAGTAAAGTTTACATCAGTATGTGCTATAAAATTCCCCTCTTCCCCAACCCCAAACAAAGTAGTACCTCCAAAAGCATGTTGAGTTTATTTATACCATGTTTCTGGTAACAAGATGTTTCAGAGAATCATTAGATAATGTCATAAAATTCATCAGTGTCAGCTTCTAATACGGACAACAAGAACTGCAGTAGGCTTATTTTGGACAGAACATCTCCCTGTTCTTAGCACATACACTCTAAACACAGGACAGAAAGGGAACATTTTTGCAATGGTAATTAATCAGCACTATGTGCAATACCACCCACATCAGCTCCAACTCTGTTCCCTGTAAAGCACAATACTCTTCACGTTCCTCTCTCCCTGGTATATACACTATGACAACTGTAAGCCAATGGTTGAAAGGTCCAACATAAAGTCTACTAACGGCCACAGGAACAAAACAAGAGAAATCACCACCTCTCAAGATCCTCCAACAGCAACATGATCTGTCAGGCAAAAAATGTTCAGATGACCTAAAATATTGGGCTACACATCACATTACAAAGGAAGGCTCAAGATAAAACTGCGTAAACCCCCATCTACCCTCCAAAAGCAAAAGCAAAAAACAAAACCCTGCCAGTTTTGCCGAGGGGATTTCCTTCTTGCCTTCTAAATCTGGGAACACAGCAAGTAGATCTCTAAAGGTGTTTACAGTCGATCTGAGACACTAGACTCCTCTGATATCAACTAAGGATAAGAATTAGAAAGAAAGCAGTAACAGAAATCTTAGCCATTTCATTAAAGTTATCAATAAAGAATAATAACCCCACAAGTTATTTGCCTCGCTTAACAATGTTTTCTGAGAAATGGTTTCATCTGTCAGGAAATGACTGGCTGTCAAACCAAACCTATTTCAGATTAACTTCCTGTTTCAAGAGCACTACATAGCCAAAATATTCCTCTCCCTATTCTAGACTAATACCAAACTGCTAGACTGCTGGGTTTTTTGGCTAGGCAGTAACTCTTGAGGGCTTTTACCCAACCAAACTTATATACACCATAGCTCTTTAGCCAACAAAACTGGACACTAACAAAAATATTTATGAAACTGGAGACAATGTGAAACTCCGCTGTAATGGGCAAAGATGATTAGCCTTTCCCAGCTAACAGAAAATCAACTTTTACCTAAAAATGTATGTAACAGACACAAATTGGTTTCAGTGTACCTGTCCTGCCTATTACGGTTGAAATGGGGCCAACCAACCCAAAGCACTTTTTCCTGGACTTGTAATTGACATCTTTTCCTTAAGACAGAATAATCTTTGCATTTCCTCTTGCAGACACACCACCTCAGATTTTAGACAGGCTTGGCCGCTATCTAGATTAACAAACCATTTTCTCACTGCTATAGAGAAATAAAACATTTTCATCGAATTATGTCTTACAATATGTTTAAGTAGCTAGATCTTAAAAGCCTAACTGCTAGTTCTGAAGGCCTTTGACTATCAGTGAATATTAGTATTATTACCCTTTTTTCATTTAAACACTGTTAAAGAGCAGTTAACACTTGCAAAGTGAAGGACCGAGATGTTAAGATTGTGTAAGACTGAGTTGTCCTGCCTTTCTGCAATGCCAGTTCCTTGCATACATGCACCACAGTTAGGTTTGTTCACCACAGTAACCAAACTACACAGCTTTTACCCCAGCTGCTTTGAAATTTAGGTACTGCTATCTTGGAATGTTGTTTACCCCATATTCCCTTCTAGGTCTCTTTCTTCTCCCAGCCCTCACCATCCTTACAGAAACAATGAGTTATATTTGAAAACACACAAATGTAAAATTCAGCAGGAATTAGTTCAAATGCAATGTTTTGCTCTGTTCACTTTATCCAGCCTTGCTCCTTAGTGCCCAGTTCTGCAGGCCATCTTGGTGGCCCAATTCAAACCTTCTTTCTTTCGTAAATGCTAAAAACTGAGACATGCCTCACAAAGTTCACCATCTTAGTTCAGTCATCACGTTATACTTCATGTCAACTAGCATGTAATACCCTAACCCTTTCCTGAGCCCAGCTCCTACTTCAAGACTAGATTTTATCTAACTGTCTCTCTGCTTTTGCACAGGGTCCAGGGATTAATACAATCACATAATTAATTTCCTCCTGGCTAAACGAGCATTTTAGAATCAAGCTTTGCCATGAGGAAGGCCGAGGTGTTTGGTGCTCTTCACTATTGTAAAAGGCATGCCATGATTAAGGAAAATTTTGAGGTCCAAGAAACTACAGGAGATGAATACAACTCACACCTCTAAGATATTATTGCAGGCATTATTAGATGCTACTTAAATAACACAATGTCTTTTTATTTATTTATTTTAGAAACACTCTTTTTAGAAAGAAAGAAAAACCACAAATACATTGAAGGTAAGCTGCCATTCTCTCTGCAGTAGTGCCTAAGAAATGAAATCCATGGGCAGGAGAAATGGTAAATGCATGAATACAGCTTCTGCCATAGAAGTTGTATAGGATATTGGACTCAGGAATAGAACTTGGGTCTCATGGGTTCAAATCCAATTTCCTGCCTTCTTTTCTTACCACCCCCATCCCAACTTATGTATGAAACAGGAAGTGAATAAAACATGATATACTTTACCACTGGTAAGGTCCTAATGCTGTGCTGCAACAGGACAGCAAACCTGGGACACATAAGTACCTCTGCATAGATCAACAAAGGTCCAGCAGAGGCCTGTCCCCCATTGCTGAGCATACAGGGGAAGTTAGTAAGCCCTGACTAATTTGGGGTGTCTTCTTCAGAGCTGTACATTTCTCAAGCTGACCGTGGTGGGGAATGCCATGCAGACACAGCAAAGAGGCTGTGCACTGAACTCTTAAATTCAGTTTCATCAGAGTGCAGTACCGAGATTCAGCATTAAGCCAGACTGGATCCATTTGGTGAGAATACGCTGTGCAAGTTAGCATTCTGGCAGCAGTCTAAGGAGCAGCACACAGCACTGCATCTGACCAGCATGACTCAATCCGAGACCCTTTCCGTGTCATTTTGAGAAGTTCTATGCACATGCTGTTACCACAACTTTCAGCTGGAAACAAGGAGTTCAGCACTTCTCCAAATCTTACAGTAGGTATTCAGATTAGGCTCTCGAACAAAAAGCCCCAATACACCAGCAACCCTTCAAACATTGTAGATCCAGTAACAAGAAGGCTTTTTATGAGCCTTTGGTGCTCTGGGAAACTTCGTACTAACAAACACACAAACATTTAACCTGTTCCAACTTCAATACTTTGTAGAGAAATTAAGGCTCTACTAAATTTTTTTCTTAGTCCTTTTGAAAGTGACTTATGATAGCTTTCACCAGCTATAACTACGTATTGGTAATCTTTTGCTCACATGTATTTTTATGATGATTTTGGATTACAGTTTCTAAAGTAAATACTGCTGAAAAAAAGTCCACAACATCTCAGTAGCAAAGAAGCTGGTAAAGAAAACCTCTCTTCACCTGAGATGTAAGACTGGTATGTCACAAAGACCGTTTTACAGCTGTTAGTAAAATACAAAGCACTCCATACCACATCTACTTGCAGTGAGAAAATTAAAGAAGAACTACATGAATACATTCTTCCAAACAGACAGAAATAACGAAAACTCAAGGGTTTTTTAAAGCAACAGTAGAAATCGAGTGACATTTATCCACACAGTATCGCATAGATGTGCAGAATCGCTTAGCCCAAAAGGAAACTGTTTGTGTTAGTCAAGGGTTATTAACTTAATTTCTGTGCTCAGCAGATGTTCAATTTTTTTTTAATTTTAATGACAGGTAAAGCAATATTAAACAAATAATTTCCTTATGAGAAAAATATCTTTAAAATATTACTTTGCAGCTCACAAACGTTCACCTATATACTAATAACTATGATTTGCAATCATCTCTCATTCACCATTCAGCACAATTACTTTAACGAGCAGACTTTTCTCCCTTCTGTTATACACATTTGTGTATGAATTAAGAAAAACAAGTTTATCATAGGACACACACCTACAGAAATAAACAAATACAAACTCTACAATGACCATGATTTATTAGTTACTTTTAGTAACTTTTAGTGTTTAAAAGTAAATTAATTAGTTACTTTTAGTGTTTAAAAGTAAACTGGGCAAGTAAAAAGTCTAGAAAGTTTACTGCATTAATTACAGAAAAGATACTTACATGGACTAACATCTCTGTATCTGTTTCGATTTCTGTTTTCTGGATATTTTGCAACTCTGTGAGGGTAGTCACTGGATTTGTGTCGAATTTCCTTTAAAAGACAAAAAAGCAATTTATTTATAGCTGGTAACCTGATTAAGGTTAGTGTTCTACACATCCTATTGTAAGACTTTCAAGCTTATTAATTAATCAAGGTTATTAATAACTAACATTTTTAAACTAACCTTAGTACACCTAGTGTTATTTTCACTCAGAAAACGTGTGTCTCATTCTTGGCCAAGCTGTTGCCATTTAAATCTTCCCACACTTGGCTAACACCACCAAACTAACATAAGTGCAATTAGGTGTAGCAGGAACAAAGGGGAAAAAACACAGATATTTATTATACTCACAGTTTACCTCAGACTTGCACATTATCTCCCACAGTAATAAGAGACTCAGATAGACAGAACTAACAGTAGTATACTGCTAGCTCCTTTACACTAACTGGCAGCATAAATCCCCCCCAAAGGTAAGTGAACTAGTTAATGATTTTATGGCCACTGTTAACAGCCACAAGATTATTGTTGGTGCTTTAACAGTTCAACCCATATAGCTGTAGTTAAACATGACCCAGTATGAAGGAACAATTCTAGACTCACAGATATCCATATGAAATCACAGCCTGCTTCTCCCCAGGCATTAATACAAACCTTTCAATAACCTGCATTTGGAAGCTATCCACATATACTCATTTACACGCTATTTTTTTTAAGGAGCATACTGCTCACATACTCTGAATGTTCAGTTTTACTAATTTTTTGCCTCTGAGTGTATCTTTTCCACAACTCCACTAAGATACACAGATTTACCTTACCTAGAAACTGAAAACACAGCTAAAGTGCTATTGACGAGCAGCCTCCAATGAACTGAACTATCCTTTTATATCTGTGTATTCATGCCATCTCAGCAGACACGTTGTACGATACAGAATTAACAATATTTTACTTTGAATTCTCCTTTTGTTTTTAGAGGATGTTGCTACATGTGATCATTATGTCCCAAAGAGCTTTAAAGTTCTCTTTACAACTAAGCATTCTTTGGTCTTCTCTATATTTCCACTGTCTTCTTTGTCTTCTCAAACTTTCTAAATAGTCTATATATTCCCAGCCAAAAAGGACTTCAGTAGAAATCTAATATACATAAGAAAGCTCCATTTTTTAGCACCTGGTGCATGACATTACTTAAGCACAGTGCCAACCTGTAAAGAACCTAAATCACAATGTGGAGCAGCAACCGTCAAGCATCAACGCTCTATGTATTTGTTTAAAAATCCCTTCCTCTATTAGACAATCAGGTTTTTTTTTATTTAGATACCGCACACTGGAACTTGTCTTCTCCTCTAGCTTATATGGCTTACAAGCTTTGGGAGCAACCACATGCATGTTGAATAAATGTATCTGGCAGGCATTCACAACCAAGTTCCCATGAAATGCAAATTTTGTATTACTCCATAACAGGATGCAACATATTTTGTTTTTAAAAGCACTGGCATCCTCTGTCCACAGAAACAGACCTGTAATTTGCTCAAGAAATGTTAAAACAGCTAGAAACACTACTACAGTGGAGGGTGGGGGGCTTGCTAGAAAGAGTTAAACCTAAGGAAGTTTAATGACTAGTTCTAAAATCAGTTTTCCCCACACAGAGTCCAGCCATCACAAGTTGGAGAAACAAACCAGATGCCAGATGTAATACAAGTCATATTACACCAGAAAAACTTGCAATGAAAAAAAAAAAAAAAAAAAGGGGGAGAATCAGTATTATTTATTCAGTCATTAATTCAGATTGGATAGGAGCTCCGGGAGTCAGCATAAATATTCCAAGCTTCACAGGATTTTACCACAAGTCTTGGCAAATTCATGGAACCGAAGGGCAAATATACAAAACTGGTCTCAGCCAGAAGAATAAAGAGACCTTAATACCCAATTTTTTTTCTTCACAGAAACTTGCACTTCTCAGGGCAAGTATGTATGTTTCTTATACAACACCACACCATAAGAAAATACCTTCCGAAACAAAAACTCAGCGTAAAAACAAGGAGTCAGCAATTGGAGTATTTTCTACAAGTTTGTGCTATGTAGAAACATCATTTGCTATTTTCTGTTTATGTTTTTAAGCAGGTCTGTATTCCCTGGTTTTAACATAATACAAATGTGTTAAGTACCCTGAAAAAATCCTGAGTTTGCAAAATCTACAGAATCAGGGAAACATAAAATTCTAATACAAAAGACTTTATAAAAAAATATTTTACAGCATAGCTGTAGTAAGATTAGAAAATCTGCATACAAAGTTTAGCAGAGCTTAATATACAATTTTCTTCTCAGTTTAGTTCTCCAAGTACAACTAAATAATATTAAAATGACTTGGGAAAGCTAACTTGTTCAGTTTGGATATACCAGCTGTAATACGTGTGCGCACTTTCCTACCTCATGAAAAATACTGGTTGCAGAATTCTTCCCTTACACTTTTATCTCATTCACTTAGCACAGTTTATTTCTGCTATTCCCTGTTAAACTCAAACCGCATCTCGGTTCCACAATACACGTGTCTAGAGGCAACGTATTTGAAGCACACGTAAATCCAATACGCCGCTAATCCAACAGAAAAAAAGCAGAACTTAAAGTTAGTAAAGAGAACTTTCGTTTTGGGTTGTCTTTCCTCACTTGTCAGAGAGCACTGTAGAACACATACTGGCTCAAATAACTGCTCTCGTACTGCAAGCTTACACACGAAGTCTGTTTTATGGGACTGACCCAAAGACTATAGTTGCAAGCTCCAAATCCCGTTGTTTCTAGAGGAAAAGGGCGAGCAGCGTACTTTCCGAGCGGTGATCGCGCAGGCCTGCTGCCGGCGCCAAGCGGGCGAAGGCAGCGGTAAACGGGCGGGTGAGGAGGCTGAGCCGGAGCCTGAGGAACCGCCGCGCAGAGCCGCGGACCCGGGGCGACGGCAAGCCTTGGCCGGATCGATGCGGATCGGCGGTGACTTTCCGCTCTGACTGGAAACCGCGGCGGAAACCACCGTCCCCCGGCTCGCATCGGCCCACTCGGCTAAGCCCTCCGCGCCCCG